CATTGCTACAACAGGAACTTAGGTATAGTTTGAGTAGATGAATGTGCATGCTAATGGATGAAATTAAGTTTATTTTTTAGTGAAAGAGTAGGATACTCGGACCAAATTATTACACCTCAACCTTACAAATTTAATTATTCAAAAGAACCTTGAAAGACCCTCACAAAATTTGATGGTGACTGTGAGATTCGAGCGAAACGAAGTTTACTACCCCAATTTTTGAAAACGAACGAATTATTGGACAAACAATTTGACTTCTCCTTTTAATTGAGAAACGATACTTTACCCCCCCTCCCCCGATTTTTTTGAACGAACGAATTGATACCCTGATTGAATGACGATATAGTTACGACAAAAAAAAGAGAGAAAAGAAAAACGAAAAAGAGAAATGAAAGAAACACTCTGAATATAACAACACTTTATTACCCCCTGATTTTTTTTTCTTGTAAACGAATTCTTTTATTATTTTTTTTTATTATTAAAAAATACACAGGATGGCCCACGTTGAAGAACCTGTGGACTTTTTTGAAGATGAATATGACGAACGATCAAGAGCAGCCACTTCCACTCGTGAAGACAATATGTACTCATTTTGGGAGAGATTTTTAGAACTTACCGTGATGCTACAGCAGAAGCAATAAGGAGGACACCCGAACGCCATGAACAGATTGGGCGAGAAATGAACTGGGTGCCAGTAAGGATATACTATGAGACAGAACAAGAAGACCCCATAAAATGGATAGAGGCCTTCGAAAGAGCAGCAATGGCAAACAATTGGACAGAATGAAGACGAATACAGATTGCCTTTGGATACCTCGCCGGAATAGCAGTCAGTTGGTATGACGATAATTGGCGCACCATAGACTACTGGGACGATGACGAATGCAGGGATCGAAGTTTCGTCCCGAGGTTCGTGGAATATTTTGCCACCCCGGAATGAAGACACAAATGGCAGATGGAGCTCAACACGATAATACAGAAGAATGAAGAGAGAGTGGATACTTACACATACCGGTTCAAGCAATTGCTAAGACGCGTAAACTCGGAACATCGCCTGCCGACTACATATGTCATATGATTGTTCACTGGCGGATTGAAAGGAGAGATTGCAAGGTTAATGCTACTGGTAGAGCCCACCAAACTGGATGATGCGATCGCAAGTGCACGAAAATTGAAAGCTGGAGAATACTATACCGGCAAAAGAAAGGAGAATAACCCAACTAATGACACCATTAAAGATGGGTTCCTAAATTATTTGTAAGGACATAATTCAAATGTCCCTTATTATTAAAAATTTTTATTTCTATATTAAGAAATAAAAAAAAACTACCTACAAAGGTTCTTTATAGTTTTAAGCATCTATACAAATCATTTCTGGAATTATGTCCCTATTAAAATAAAGAGCTAGAAATTATGTCCTCTAGGGGACGTGGACGTAAAGGAATGTAAATTTTATATGCTAAATACTTTAGGGACCCATCTTTAGACACCATTAGTAGCCTAACGAAACAAGTGCAAAAAATGTCATCAAAGCTGATCACGATGATAAGAGAGAAGAAAAATACTAGAAACCAGAGTTACCGATCCACTGGATGCTTCAATTGTGGAAGACAAGGACATAGAGCCCATGAATGCCCCGAGCCAAGGAGAATGCCACCACAAGTTGCCAACCCTCATGACACGAACCTTTGCGAAGTAGAAAACAGTAACGATGAAGCTTACGTTGCTACTAAATCACGATACCAGCTGTACACTGTTAATCATCCTAAAAAGGGTGAATTGAGTAAGGAACCTACTGGAAAAACTGTGAACCAGCCACAACAAACAGAACAAGCATGATTGGCACAGCAGGAAGAGCACACCCAATCAACACAATCAGTAGAAATAAAGATTATGGCAGAATCTGCAAAAAAGAATGCCATGCCACGAGTCAAGCACCAGAGAGGACCGTCAGTAGTAGACCAAGCATCCCTATACAACGTCACAAAAGACCTGTTGAGTCAGAGAGCTAATGCCACGTATGTCCAACTATTGCAAATTCTGAAGCAACGACAGCACCTGGCACAAGTATTGAAATGACCTATCATCACCCCCGCGGAAGTTGACTATGTGGAAGATCAGCCCCAACGAATCTCAGCAGCTAGATGTAATATGAAGATAAGAAACAAACCAGTCGTAGCAGTATTGGATTCTGAAGCTGCAGTGAGCATTATGTTAAAGAAATTGCTTATCAAGCTCGAACTACAGATTTCAGAACCATCTAACGCTGTTGTCGTCACTGCGAACGGAATACGGAAAAGAGCTTTAGGAAAGTTGAAGGACGTAGCACTACAACTAGGAAAAATCATTGTACCTACAGACTTTCAGGTTATAAAGTCTACGGAAGAAATAATGTTATTAGGAATGAGTTGGTTTAAGAAGTTACGTGCCCACCTATATTTCGACGAACAAAAATTGATCATTACTCATAAAGGAGAAAGCATAGAGCTATCTATTCACCAAGAGAAAGAAGTGAAATAAAGGAAGAGGAGGAGGAAGAGGATTATGAGGAAGATGATTATTTCGACACATATGAGGAAGAAGATCTAGATGAAGTAGAAAGTTACTTGACTGACGATCAAGAGGACTTATATACCAACCCATGGATCGACAAGCACAGCCCGGCAGCATATTTGATGACGATCGAAGAAGTTCTGACACCCGAAGAAACTGAACGACCCATACAACCTCTGGAAGAAGTAATAAAAGAATTAGTAAATGCCAAAGTCATCGACGATAACCAACGAAAGCAGGCTATTCACTTACTAGAAGAAAATAAGGAAGCCTTCGCTGACGGATTGGATCAACTGGGACAAACTGACGAAGTACAGCATGAAATCGACATTGAAGAAGCGAAGCCGATTAAACAACATGCATATAGAGTGTCCCCTAGTGAGCAAGAGTTTTTGGAAGAGGAAATTCAGAAAATAAAGGAAAAGAAATTGATTAGCGAAATTAAGAGCCCCTGGACATCTCCGGTAGTGATAGTCCCGAAGAAAGGAAAAAAATTACAATTATGTGTAGACTATCGAAAGTTGAATGCAGTTACGAAGAAAGATTCGTACCCTCTATCTAGGATTGATGACTTGCTAGAAGCTTTTGGGAAAACGAATTGGTTTTCGAGTCTAGACCTAGCTAGCAGATATTGGCAGATTAAGATGAGAGAGAAAGATAGAGAGAAAACTACGTTTATTACGAAGCAAGGAACCTACACGTTTAATGTAATGCCCTTTGGGTTGTGTAATGTACCAGCGACATTTCAGAGAACTATGGACCAGATACTTCACGAATTTTTGGGAAAATTCGTAGTAGTATACCTCAACAATATCAATATGTATTTGATGATTTTTGAGGAGCATGTGGAACACCTACGGAGAATAATCATGAAGATTAGTGAAGCCAGACTAAGATTCAATAGAGAGAAGTGCCAGTTATTCAGGACGGAAATTCGATTCTTAGGACACATAGTAGGACGCAATGGAATCCAGCCGGACGAAGAGAAAATAATCAAAGTAAAAGAATTTCCGACGCCAACAAACCTAAGACAACTACGAGGATTTATCGGACTTGCATCATATTACCAACGTTTCATCAAGAACTTTGCAACAATTGTGAAGCCGATGCATAAATTATTAGAAAAGGGAGTGAAATACGAATGGACACCAGCACAGGAACAAGCATTCGAGAAACTTAAGACTTACCTGACTTCAGCATCTATCTTGCAATACCCAGACTTCGAGCAAACGTTTTATCTTCATACGGATGCTTCAGGAGTAGGATTAGGAGCTGTACTAGCTCAGAGAGGAGAAGATAAGAAGAAATATGTTGTTGTATACGCAAGTAAGAGCCTCACTAGAGCAGAGTGAAACTATGCAGCTACAGAATTGGAGCATTACGCAGTGATCTGGGCCATGGAGCATTTTTACCACTACCTTGGATTTAAGCCATTCGTGATAATAACGGATCATGCAGCATTAAAATGGTTGCATAACACTACACTAAAAGGATGGAGAGCATGATAGATCTTATGATTACAGCCGTATCAGTATATTATTCAGCACAGAGCCGGACGAAAACACCATAATGCCGATGCACTATCTAGAATTTCGAATCATAAGGAATCAGCAGAAAAAGAAGGAATAGGAGACGAAAACTTAATTAATTATTGTCAGACAAAGTACCTAGGATATGAAACGCGACCCACCTGAGAGTTGCGATATTGACTGACTGCCACAATCAAGAAAAGAAGGAAATCTGACGAGAAACACAATCCAGCCCAGGTTGTCGGTGTCCTGGCACTAATAAGGATCAAGATAGAATAACAATGATACGACATAATCAAGACTTACCTATTGTACCAAAGGTATCCGCCAAATTTCGACAAGCAACAACAACGATGATTAAGAGCACAAAGCAAATTCTTTCATGTGCAAGACGATCAATTATTCAAGAAAAATAGATCGATGAAGCAAAACAATTTAATTAGAGTTTTGACAGAAGCAGAAGTGGATTCAGTATTAGCATCAATATATGATCACCTACTGGAAGGCCATTTTTCGAAAGATGTGATGTTTAATAAGATTCGGGAGTACTATTATTGGCCGCAAATGTACAACGACATACGAGAATATGTTAGAACATGCGAGCGATGTCAGAAAGCCAGAGTGAAGAAGGAGAAGCTACCGTTACACCCTATCCCCATGATAGCACCTTTTTACAAGATTGGAATCGATATAGTTGGACCTTTACCGATGACGCCTAGATTGAACAAATATATTGTAGTAGTGACCGACTATATGACCAAGTGGCCGGAAGCATATGCCATACGAAGAGACACAGCCAAAGAAGTTGCCAAATTTATCTATAAAGACATTATATGCAGACATAGATGTCCGATGCATATACTCACAGACTGAGGCATGCATTTTAGGAATAGAACGATTGACAAATTAATGGCGATATTACAAGTGGAGCATCAGTATTCTACCCCATACTACTCGCAAACCAATGGATTAGTGGAGAGATTTAACAAGACCTTATGTAACTCGATCGCCCGATTAGTCACCAAGATAATGGAATGGGATATGATGATTCAGCCGATATTATTTGCTTATCGCATCGCAAGACAAGCTACGACCCAGCAAACGTCTTTTATGTTAACTTACAGAAGAGAAGCAAGATTACCTGCCCACCCAAGTGAATCTGAAGATTTACTTAATGAAACGTTCTTGTAGAGAATGTATGAGTTGACTACGAAAGTACTGAACACGAGAAAACAAGCGCTTTTACAGATCTGGGATAATTAACAAAAACAGAAGGCAAACCACGATCGGAAATTGAAAGGCACTACTACTTTTGAAATTGGAGATAAAGTATTAGCTTATGATATGCAGCGAATGAATGCTCCGAGTCACAAGTTCGCACCTAAATGAAAAGGACCGTATTATGTACACACTATACTTATGAATGGAGCTTACAAATTGAGGGAATTAGATGGGAAAGTTTTATCTACGCCAATTAATGGGACTCACTTGAAGAAATACTTGGAGAGGAAGCATTGAGAATTGACTTTTTTTTATATAAGAGGGCAATTCAGAGGATATTTTTTTTTATTTTTTATTTTTTTTATTATTTTATTTTATTTCTTACAGAAACAACAGAGGATCTCGTCAGATTTGATATTTTGTCTACTCAGCCGTTATTCATAACACCCGAACTATGTTCGTATCATGAGAGTTAAGGATTTCAAGATCAAGTCGCATTAGCTTATAATCGACTTAGGAGAGCTAGAAATATCGGAAATCGGATTAGCAGCCTTACTCATGTATATTACTTGGGAGCAAGGATACAGACACTTACTTCAGCAGAAAGACCTGTCATACGAAGCATTTTGACCATGTATTATCTTAAAGCCGCGATCCGGACCTACTATCTTTTCGAACCACATGGAGTTGCGCAGATTTATCGAACGATATATATCACTCTTTCAATGATTGTCAAGCTCACGAAGCATGAATTTAATCGACTAATTATAGAGAAACCCGTGGAACGTATTTTTCTAGCGGAGGAGAATTGTGAAAGGGAAATTGCATGGTCATATGAGTCTATACAATGAAGATCTCAAAAATGACAAATCTGAGAAAAATGAGATATCTGTAATATATTTCTTTTATTTGATTTCTTTAATTTATTTTAGATATTTAATATAGTTGAGAAATTAGATATATTCATGATAATTGATATAATTGATATAATTAATATAGTTGATATATCTGAGATAATTTTTTGTAATTAGCATGTATATAAGGAGAGCGAAAATGTCTAAATAAATAGGGATAATAATTGCTAAATAATAATTGCTAAATAATAATTGCTTGAATAACTATTTGTTCTAACTACTATGCAAATGTGTTAACATTTGAAGGTGAAACTGTGACCATAAAGGACTTTGGAAGAGTTTCAGAGTAGTTGTCAGTATGAATGCATCCTTGCTACAACAGGAACTTAAGTATAGTTTGAGTAGACGAATGTGTATGCTAACGGATGAAATTGAGTTTATTTTTTAGTGAAAGAGCAGGATACTCAGACCAAATTATTATGCCTCAGCCTTACAAATTTAATTATTCAAGAGGATCTCGAAAGACCCTCACAGAGCAGAAGGAGTTATGTAAATTATGTGAATGTTTTATATGTGAATGGAAGATTGATGGAAATTATATCCTCTTATATAATAGTAGCTGTGGTAATGGTTATCAAACTTATTGTTTGAATCCCCCAATTGATAAAATACCATCTGGAAAATAGTACTGCAATAGATGTAAATCCCAAAGGGTAGAACCGGTATTCATTTGAATTTTATTTATTTATTTATTATTGAGACTAAGATTGATTTAAATAATAGCTTGAGTTTGAATCCTCAGGATCGAAGGGAAAGAAGATAGTTTTGATGAGTGATGATAATAATCGAAATGAAATCCATATTTTATTGGAAAGAGATAACTCATTGGGAATAAATCAACCTATGTTGGATATTATAATAATATTATGTGGTCCATCAATGGATATTGATTCCCTGGGGTCAAATAATGATGTGAGTATTACATTGTTACGTTTTTACATTATTATAGTAATTATTGTTATTGTATTTATTTTAATATATAAATATCTTTTAGGATCGACAACTTGATGAGATTTGAAGAGGTAATTTCTAAAAGGTTTTTGAAAATTATCTTTGAACTTTGATTAATATATATTACGTAGATGATCTAGCGAGCAGGTCGCATATGTTAAAGAAAATTTTTACTGATGTTATGACTGATCAATTGGATATACAGTATGTGATGATCAACTTCTTTCAAAGAATAATTCGATAGAATCTTTTTTCACTTTGGATTTTAATTATCTTTTTGATATTGGTAATATTTATTTTTTACCTGGATCTCTACCATCTTATTTAATATCAAATGTTGAAACATTGGATAATTACTTTAGGGCATGGATTGCTCAGTATAGTAAACTTAAGTTAACCAAGCAGAAGGCTAAGGAGAACATGTTGAAGATGATATATGATCTCCAAAAACCATTTTTAGCATTACTTGTGATACTTTTGACTAATTATGAATGGAAAAATAATGAACCATCACCTGTATTGAAAGTGTTATGTGGTTTCGTTACAGAGAAGATAATAACTGTACTATATATCGATAATAGGCAAGAATGGAGATATTGAAGTGAAATGTGAAGATTAATCAAACTATTATATGTGACTCGATATCCTATGACTATTCTTGTGATGGTTCAAATTAATTTCATATTTTTGTTGATGATGTCTATTAACAATTATAATAAATTTCTTATAGCTCTTTTGGATGATAAGGAAGCTTACCATGAAAATTCTGTATTTGATGAGTTATTAATACAAAAGATTAAAGAGATTGTCTATAGACAGGAGACTAGTATTATAGATAATTATTTTATATTTGTATATACATAATGTATTTTATGAATATTATATGTGGGAATTCTAGTAACACGTAATTGTAATTTCATGTGATAATTAATAAAAATTTAATATTTTATTGATGGAATTAATAATAGATATATAAGATATTTTTATCATAAGAGTTTAGTAAAATAAATAAATTATATATGTATAAAATATTCATTAGAAAGATATTGATCATATGATATCTATTTTTTAAGAAATTTGAGATATGTGATATAATTATTTTCAATACTTCTATAATTGATGAGAAATTGATATCTCATAAATGTAAATTAAGAAATTTTTTATCAGAAAAAATAAAAAATTTGTGTTCTCTGGAGCTTTAGTAATTGAGAGTAATTGTTCAACATAACATTGAAGTTCTACAATTTTATCTGAAAAAAAAGTATTTTGCCTTCTTAATGATTTTATATCTGCTTCATAATTCCTCAATTGGTCTTTCATTAGTTGTAAATCACTTTTTAATTGATTTTTTTTTTTTCAGTTTTTAGTTCTAAATTAATTATTTTATAATCTTTAATTGTGGCTATAAGTTGTCATTGATATTGTTCAATAATTTCTTTTAAAATTTGAATGGAATTTCTGTAGACATCATTTGAATCTTTTAAACTGGTGATGAGTTTATTATTATATTTTGTTTTTTTATATGAAGGTGTATTAGATGTTGAAGGGCTATAAATAAATCTATCTATTATCAAAAAAAAAAAGAAATAATAGAAATAGAATAAAAAATAAAATAAAAAATAAATAAAAATAAATAAAAATAAAGGGTGTGGTGTTGTTTTATTAAATTTCTGAGTGGTCTAAGTGACCTGAGTCGGTTAGTATTGAATAGAAGGGATAATTTGTATCTTTTATCTTTTTGTAATTTTCAGTTAAATTTTACGAATTTTGATTTTTTTTGTTCATAGAGAATGGTGTCATATGCTTTGAAGATAATATAACAGATGATAATAAAAGTGTAATCCTTGTCATGATATTGGGTGTATGAGATGAAGAAAAAACCAGCAATTATCCAGAATATATTGCTTATCAAGTTATGAAAGATAATAAAGAAGAGAATGAAAAAAGACATTTTATTCACATTTTAATATTGTAAGTATAACACGAGGGCAATGGCAAAAATCAAGGTGAGAAAGTATTAATGATTTGTCATTTTTGAACTAACTTATCATAAATGAATCTATTATTATTTTATACTTATATCAAATTCATAGATCTTGCCAATTTTATATTTATTAAATTGATTGTGAACAATATTGTGAACAATATTATAAATAAGATTATTTTGTTAGAAACAATATTATAAATGGGATATCCTTGTTAAAATGATTTGTAATTTTAATTTTCAAGAAAAAAAAAACATTCATTTCAGATTGAAATCAATCATGTTAGTAAAAAATTAACATGTATTTATTCTGGATATAGGGTATCGATATGATAGAATAATTTTAATTTGAGATTGAATAGATAGTGTCCATTGTTTGATTTATTAATGTTTATATGCTTTTATTTCAATTCGAGATTGAATGGGTGATGTCAATTGTTTAATTTGTTGATATTTTTTTCTTTTATTTTAATTTGAGACTTAATACCATCTCAAATTAATTATATAAGAGAATTGATTTGACTGAGGTATGGTAAGATGTCTCCAGATCAATTACAACCGCATAGCACTTTCTTTTTGATAATTTTCTCCTTTTTATTTACACCTTTTGAAATAATTGCACTAAGAGGTTGTGATTGCCAATTGTGTATTAATATTTTGTTAACAGTGTGTGGCTATGTTCTGGATATTTATTCTATTTATTTATTTATTTATCTATTTGTTTTATTTTTTATTTACAATTATTATTGTAGGCCTTATTTACATGATTTATATTATCACTCATCATGCTAAGTCACCGAGTAATACCATCCCGCCAGTATGAAAAAAATCATTTATCTAATCATATTTTGGTTATTATTTATTCTATCGATTTTAAATCTACAATATTTAATTATTGTAGTATTGATTATTGTTTCTGTTTTATTGGTATATATACAATATAAGAAGTTAAAAGATCCAAAACCACCTAAGAGATTTTTTTTGAAGAAATTTAAATTTTGGGTTGAATCAAAAGTTGATAAGGTAAATAAACGGATTGATATAAAGACTGATGATTTGAATAAAGATGATATTGACAATATTAAATCGGATAATTTGAAGGATGAAAGATCTTTTTTTCAAAATTTTAGATCAACTGTTAAAATATCTTTGGAAAAAATTAAAAATAAGTTTTAATGTTGATAGTTATGATTTTAGTTTTTTTTATTTCATTTATATATTTTAGCAAATCAATTATTGGATTACTTAAATCCAGATGATAATGATAATGATATTGATTCATATTAAATACAATAAGTTTATATTACATGTTTTTTATTTTATTTTATATTATATATATTTATATTAAATTGTATTTTAAAGTAATAAATAAATTAAAATATAAAAATGCTTTATACCCTTTATTTGATTGTGAAGTTGAAATGAAAAATTCACATATAACAAAGTTTAGACATTTTAATTTCACTCTCTATGAACATATAGATATATCATTTGTTAAATCTATAGAAAAGAAATTTCGAGATTTAAATAATTGTATTCAATATATTATCTTCCAATTGGAATTTAATCATTATGCTTCAGGTTCAGATGAACATATACATATACAAGGATTTGTAATATTAAAGAATCAAATGAGAATTAGAAAATATGATCGAAAGAGAGGGGTTGGATCTGGAATTAAGAATATATTTAAATCAAATAGTATTCATATTGATTTTGTGAATGAAACATCAGATCAATATAGGGATTATTGCAATAAAAGATATAATAAATACAAGAATTACAAAAATTGTAAATGTGATTATTTTGATTTGGAAAGGATATGTAAGAAATGTGATAAAAATTGTATTAGAGATTTGGCTCGTATATATAATGTAAATAGAGATGATACACCTTCTGAACCATAAGAATTTGACATTATTTATAATAATCAGAATTGAATTGAGGATAATAGTAGGTATTTAAGAAAAAATAAGAGAGTGAATATATGACTAAAGCAATAAATAAGATTATAGGAGGTGGTGATATTGATGAGGCAATTGTAGAATATGCACCTATGATTCCATCTTATATTACAATTAACATGGATAGAATTGCAAAAGTGGTTAATAATATTAATGATAAATTTGGTGGATGATGTTGGAATCCATATAATATTTACATATTTGGGACACCTGAAACTGGAAAAACTTTTTGGACTAGTATTGTATTTCTCAATGCATATAAAAAATCGATGAATGATAATTGGAAGTGATGGAAAAATTACAATAATAATCATATCATTATTATTAATGAGATGGAATGGGGATCTGCATTATGGAAAAATTTGCTTAATATTCTTGATCAAGTTTTATTGAGAGTTCAAGTTAAAGAATCATCACATGAGTATGTTGAAATGTATCAGATATTTACTTCAAATATGGGATTATGAGAATTATATAATTATCATAAAGATCTTCTATTCTATAAGAAATCGAATGGATTCAAATTATCAAATAAAAAATATTATTTGGCAATTGAGAGGAGATTTAATTTCATTATAGAATATCACAAATTTAGAAGTAATGGCACATGTGTTTGTAATAAAGAATATACATGTTGTAAAATTCAAAGGATTTTTCATAAGGATTCAAGGGAGAAATTTCAGAGTTTAGAATTTGATATTGAATTTAATAGAGATGTAATTTGAGAGTATATACTGAAGATTGTAAGAAAATTTAATAAGAGAGAAAAGTTATTAAAATTAGGTGATAAAATTATTTGGAAAGAAAATTTTGATAGTAATAATTAAAAATGGATCCCTAAAGTATTTAGCATATAAAATTTATGTCCCTTTATGTCCACGTCCCCTAGAGGACATAATTCCTAACTCTTTATTTCAATAAGAATATAATTCCAGAAATGATTTGTATAGATGCTTAAAATTATAAAGAATCTTTATAGGTAGTTTTTTTTTATTTCTTAATATAGAAATGAAAATTTTTAATAATAAGGGAAATTTGAATTATGTCCTTACAAATAATTTAGGGACCCATCTTTAGTAATAATAGATATATAATTGACAATAACAAAGAATCACATTTAGATTTTATTATATATCCTGAGATTATAGATAAGCTTAATGGAAAGGATCTTGATTATGAGATTGAAATTATTAAGGAAATCTATAAGTTAAAAGATAATGAATATAAAATGGAAAAAAGGGCACATGAGTGTAATGATTCAAATGAATATTCAAAGAAATTAAGAATTTCTTAAGATAATTAATATATTTTTAATAATTAAAGTTAGATTTAGAGTGAGATCGGTTTAATCTAGTTTAATAATTTTGATTATCTCATATTAACCATGCTTGGTAATTTTGATCATCTTATATTAGTTATACTTGATAATTTTGATCATTTTATATTAACTATATTTGATAATTTTTAAATTTATTTCGTAACATTTTGGATATAATTTATTTAATGTTTGAATGGTTATATAAGAAGATCGTTTACAGGTGATCTTTTTGGAATGTCGAAAAAGAAGATAAATTTATTTCATGATAGGGTGAGTCATTATTTCTGTAAACTGAAACTTTCCTTTCTTAACAGAACCAAAGGTCGATTTTTAATGAGTTGTGTCAGACTGGATCTCTCCATCTTTAATTGCATAGATTAGTTGATTTTGTGTAATTCCTGAGATTATAAATGATATTAAAATCATTTGAAACTGAAAACCGGTTGTAATATACATAAATTGATTATGTTAAACAAATCGAAGGGAATGTGTGAGAAATTTTGATTCACCGATTCAACTGAATTAATATAATTTATTTATTTTTTAGAAGAATCGATATTATGAGAGTACCGTATCCTTCCGGTTATAAGCACCACCCAGTTATAAGCACCATCCAGTTTTTTTGTAATAGTCTAGCCAAAATATGCGATCGCCATTATTTCATTGATCATTCTGTTTATATATAAAAACCACTATCCATTATTTAAAGTGTTTTTAGTATAAATGAAGGGAATAAGTGAATACATGGGTAAGTGAGTGATCAATGAGAACCGAAAAACCTACCGGTGATTATAGCCTCCTACGAGGGAAATAGATCCTGCCTCAGCATCGATCAGAAATTGAAGAACCCATATCTGTTGCCACAAAATATTAATAGACATCTAAAACCATTCTGACGGTGCCATATTTTCTGGATCTAGACCTGAGTGAACAAACGAAGAGAAAGAATAGATGAATAAATAGATTAGCGATCTAGATCCTGCCTTAATGTTGATCAAGGATTGAAGAACCTGTACCTGTTACTATGAATATTAACAGATCACTGAAAACATTCTAAACGGTGCCATGTTTCCTGAATCTAGACCTGAGCAAAGGATATGAGCAAATGAAGAGAAAGGAAAGAGATGGATAAAAAACGAATTAAATGGTAAATAAAAAACTAAGTGAATAGATAAATAATAAATGAATGATCTAGACCCTCTTTAGTATTGAATAAGAATTGAAGAACCCATATCTGTTGCCACGAAATATTGACAGATTGCTGAAATCATTCCAATGGTGCCATGTTTCCCAAATCTAGACCTAAGTGAAGAATATGGATAAATGGGGAGAAAGGAAAGAGATAGGGGAAAAATGGATTGAATGGTGAATAAAGATAAGTGGATAGATAAATAAATAGATGAGTGATCTAAACCCCACCTCAGCGTCAATCAAGAATTGAAGAACCCGTATCTGTTGCCATGAAATATTTAGATCACTAAAACTATTCTGAATAGTGTCATGTTTCCCGAATCTAGACCTAAAAACCCATACCTGTTGTCACGAAATATTCAGATCGCTGAACCATTCTGAATAGTGCCATGTTTCTTGAATCTAGACCAGAGCGAAGAATATGGACAAACAAAGAGAAAGGAAAGAAATAAGGGAAAAACAGATTGAATGGTAAATTAAGAAGGTTCATTAAGAAAAATGTGTATATTAAATAATTTCATGTGATATATTTTTTGTGTAGGAAAATAATAAACATTTCGATTTTTATAGTAATTAAATGTGTTAACGGAACTTTATTGGAATAATAAATTACGCATGGACAAGCAGACCACGATGTATTTACATAAATGAGAGCTTTGGTAATTTATATTCGTATATGCTATATACATTTGATATACTTATTTTTACCTGTTAAGAAATAACACTTATTGATTTTAGGTTATCGAAATAGATGTATAAGCAAGTGACAGATGAACAGATAGGTGAGTAATCGAATGGCTCAAATGAATTGATGGAGGAATAGGTAGGTAGGAGAATAGATAAGCGAAATGTATTTAAATAAAGGAACATCTAAATGGATAGATGCATAAGCAGGGTATATGAGAGATAGGCGAATGAATGAAATAATCAAATGAGTAAATGAAAGGATAAATAAGCAATTCAACAAATAACTTGAGAACAAAAACATGGACATATAAATATGAAATTTTAGCAAATTTATATTTTTTATTAAACATTAAAAAAAAAAGTTATACAAACTAAAATAGAATTTTTTTATTCATCTTCGCTATCTTTATTATTATTGAATTCTATTTCTGTTGCCGATTCATTATATAAATGTACTACTTTTTCTTCTCTTTTTTGTTCCTTATCCGATTCATCCAATTCATATAGAAAATGATCTTGTGAGCCATTATCAGCATTGGAAATGCCACACTTTAGAAAAGATTTTATAATCATTTGACTTGATATCTCTTCCCAAGCTTGAAGAATCCATTTGCATATAAGTTTGTAAGGTGGTTTTTTTAAATTTCCACCTTTAGTCAAAGTAACCTCATTCATTATCCACGTATTTCACTTTTTTCGAAGATTATCTTTAAAAGATTTATTTAAGCACACATCGAGTGGTTGTACTATAGATATAAGACCCCTGGGAATAATTGCTGGTATACAATTCAATTTTTTATATGTATTTTTGACAGATTTAGTTTTGTGTCCCTCAAAAGAGTCTAAAACCAATAAATTTTTTTTCTTAATAAATCTCCGGTTCGATAATGCCAAATTTTATTTAGCCAAACTTGCATTAATTTTTCATTCATCCAACCTTTTTCACTCATTTCAACAATAATGCCTTGAGGTAAATCTTTAGGAAGACGTTTGCCTTTAAAAATCACCATTGGTGGAAGCTTTACTCCATTAGCCAAAACACTTAGTACGCAAGTAAACCGGTTTTTTTCATTTCCCGTTGTTTTGATTTGTACAGTTTTTGCACCCTTTTGGTTAACCGTTAAGTTTGTTATCATATCGAAATATACAGGTGTTTCATCCATATTGCCAATTTGATCCATAGTATAGTTGTACAATCTTCTTTGTTTTATAATAAATCGTTGAAAAGACAATAATTTATCATCCAAATCTTCTGGAAGTTTTTGTGAAATTTTTGTATGCCGACGAAGAGAAAGATCATGTCAATGTAAAAATCTATAGAACCAATGATCGGATGCTAAAAAATTACTAGAATTTGGATATTTTTCATTAAATTCATTTTCTAACAAATATTTCATTTGTGTCTTAACATTATTAGCTGTTACGCAAAATGCATTCTGCCGTAATTCAAGAATCCATTGTTTTAAAACAATTTCGACATCTGGATAGTGTGGATGGCAACCGGTACCAATTTTTCGAGCTTTTGAATGTGCAGTTTTCAACTTTTCTTCTTCTTTTTTCCAACGTAAAACCATAGAATGATCGATATTATATTTCCTCGCTGCTGTTCTTATACCAGTTTTTTTTGCATAAGTAACAACATCTAATTTTTCTTTTGCTGTATAAGAATTTCGGATTGAACGATTTATTAATTTTTTTTTAGGCATTTTTTCACTCAAATCAGAAAGAAAGTTATGGAAATTTTTTTATTTACAAGTATTTAGGACTTTGCTTTCGAGTTAAATCGCTTCTAAATTGGTCATTAATTACACGTTCAGATCAATATTTTCTTGTTTCCATGTGGTATGTTCTATATTGTCATAATTGTTTTGATCTGGTTATATTCTGGGTATACTCCAAATATGGTAAAACTAACCATTGCCATTACTTAATCCATATAGAATAGTGGGGAACCCATCGCAACATATCTTTTATTTTCTATAATATGTAGTCTGTGCAGTTAAATCGAAATATCCATATTGTATGGTTTACTAATTACAAATACATACTGTATATATCATACTTCGTATATGATGTCATAATGATTTTTGCGATCCTAAATTATTATTTATTTATCAACTCGGTTATAAGCACCACCTATAAAAATAAATAAAAAATAATGGTTAAAAAATGGTGCTTATAACCGGAAGAATACGGTACAGGTCAAGATTGTTACAGTTGGTTCTTGGCTTCTGTTGGATAATCATTGTACCACTTCCAGATGATCATCCTATTGCACACCTTTCTTGGAGATCACAATTTCAACATCTCACTGGATCAGCATGCGAATGATTTCTTATGGGAAACAGGACTTAACAGGTTATAGCCCCAGATACTATTCATATAAGAAATATTGTTTTTTTTATAATATATATTTTTAATATACAAACTAAATAAAGAAATATATTTTAATAAATCCATGCATGTATCACAACTTAGCCCTTAAAAAAAAAAAAAAAAAATATTCTTTACCTATTTGAAAAAATAACAATAATTTTTTTTAATTACATATATTTTGTTTAAAAAAATAAATTATACTTTTTATTACAAATAAGTTTTAATTTGAAAATTTAAAATTTTTAAAAATAACTGATATAATACAGAGGGTACCCATATTATTGTGAATACTTTTTATTATACAATAAAATAAATTAATAAGCAAAAAAATTTTTTATTATACTAAGTAAATATTTTTATAATATGTTAAAGTATATTATATTAAAATTTCATGTAATTGTAATGATTCACTTAGAATTTATAATCAAAAAACCTTCATGCTATAAATTACGATCAAACCAAAATTACAAATTGAATGAAAATCTTTTTTTAAAAAAAAAACTTAAAGCTAAAATATATATATATATATATACTGTATATATATATTTTTTAAAAAAAAATTCAAGCTAATATCAAGTCTTAGTATTTTGTAGGGCCTCTGTCAGCAGCAATGCAAGCTGCAATATGATCCGGCATACTATCTACTAATTGGCAACAAATTTCTGGTGAAACCTCTCACCAGGCTTGTTTAATGAGAATTTCGAGATCAGTAAGATTACTAAGCTTTGGTTTGCAATACACAGATATCTTGACCTCATGCCAGAGATTCTCTATAGGATTCAGATCAGGACTCTAGGCAGGCCAGTCTAATACCCTGATCTTGTAATCTTCAAAAAATGTAATGGTGATTTTCGAAACATGGAGTTTTGTATTGTCTTGCTGAAATAAAAGATGATCACAATCCATATTTCCGGATATTTTTTTAAGGTGGGTATGGCATATTTGCGCAAAATCCCAACATACAAAGCCCCAATGACAATATTAATTAATGGAACTAGAGGGCCAGTTCTGTGCCAAGAGAAGCAGCCCCAGAACATATGGCTAGGGCTTTGTTTAATGGTACAGCTTAGGCATTTGGCGTCCCATTCCTCATGTGGTTCATGCCAAATTCGAGAAAGAACTTACTGAAAAAGCTGAATAGATGTTTTGTCTGACCAAAGAATACGTCTGAAGTATTGGGCGGTCCAGTCCCTGCAAGCAAGACACCAGGTAGGCCTGTTCAATGCATTAATAGTGGAGATTAATGGTTTCGGGTATGTAATGCAAGATCTTAAATTTTCTTTTTTTAGGACATAATGGATAGTGTTTTTTGATACATGGAGTTTGGTTTGAGCAGTGAAAGTAGTGGCAACTTGGGTGGTGTTTAAATGACGGTTTTCATTAGTCACAAGAGTTTTAAAGGCAGAACGGTCAGAAGCGATAAGAAACAGCGAATGTCTAGGACGTTTTCTTTGCAGTTCAGTGGTTCCTGCCTTACAATACTTATCTATAATATTTTCTACAGAAGACTTCTTACAGCCAACATTAGCAGTGATGGCACGATACGAGTCACCTTTCAGGTAACCATAGATAATGGCTCCTTTTTGTGCAATGGTCAAATCTTTTTTACTACTCATTAAATTTGATTCTTGTTTTTTTAGTCAAAAAAGAGTAAAAACGTGATTTTTTTTATATAAAAAAATTCAAAAAAATTATAATACAAATTAACGTGTTTTCGTTTATATTTTTATTAAAA